CAGCAGCATTTTAAGAGGATTATACATCTTGACCAAGTGGGATTTATTCCTGGAATGCAAGTGTTGTTCAAGATACAAAAACCAATAAATATAATAAGCCACAATAATAGAATGAAGGAAAAAAACCACATGATCATCTCAATTGATGCAGAAAAAGTGTTTTACAAAAGTCAACACCCTTTCATGATAAAAAAAAAAACACTCAATCAACTAGAAAGAGAAGGGAACTTCCTCAAAATGCTAAAGGCTTTTTATGGAAAACCCACAGCTAGCAACATACTCAGTGGGGAAATATGGAAAGCTCTTCTGCTAAGACCAGGAAAAACAAGGATACCCACTTTCACCACTTCTATTTAACATAGTACTGGAAGTTGTACCCAGAGCAATTAGGCAAGAAAAAGAAATAAAAAGCATCCAAATTGGAATGAAGAAGTAAAATTATCTGTGTTTTCAGGTGACATGATCTTATATGCAGAAAACTCTAAAGAATCAACAAGAAATTTTAAAGCTAATAAACAAATTCACCAAAATTGCAGGATATAAAACCAACAGAAAAATCAGTTTTATTTCTGTATACTTGCAATGTACAATTTGAAAAAATTTTTTTAAATTCATCTACATCAAAGAAAATAAAATACTTAGGAATAAATTTAACCAAAGAAGTGAAATGCTTGTACACAGAAAACTATAAAACGTTGCTGAGAGAAATTAAAGACACAAATAAATTTAAAGACATCTTATGTTACTTGATGGAAACACTTAATATTTTTAATATGACAACACTACCGAAAATGATCCACAGATTCAATACAATCCTTTTCAAAATTCCACTGATGTTTTTTACAGAAATAGAAAAATCCATACCAAAATTTATATGGAATCTTAGTGGACTCCAGAGAGCCAAAACTAACTTGAAAAAGAAGAACAAAGTCAGATGACTCATACTTCCTAAGTTCAAAACTTACTACAAAGCTATAGTAATCAAACCACTGTGATACTGGCATAAGGATAGACACACAGACAAAAGGAAAAAATTGAGAACTCAGAAATGAACCCTCAAATACCTGGGCAATTGACATTCAACAAGTGTGCCAAGACAATTCAATGAGGAAAACATTGTCTTTTCAACAAACGATGCTGGAAAAACTGGATATTCACACGCAGAAGAATGAAGTTGGACCCTCACCTTGCATCATACAAAAAGTAACACAAAATGGATCAAAGAGTTAAAAGATAGCCCACAGAATGGGAGAAATTATTCACAAATTATATCAGAATGAAAAAGACCTCCTAAAACTCGACAACAAAAAATCAATAACCCACTCAAAAATGGGCAAGGGGCTTCAATAGACACATCTGCAAAGAAGATATGCAAATGGCCAAAAACATCATTAGTCATCAAGGAAATGTAAATCAAAACTACAATGAGGTAACACCTCACACCTTTTAGGATGGCTGTAAGTATTTTAAAAAAAAAAAGGAAAAGTAACAAATGTAAGACACAATGTGGAGAAATTGTTGCTCTCGTGCATTACTGGTGAATGTGAAGTGGTGCAGCTTCTATAGAAAACAGTCTGGCAGTTTCTCAAAAAGCTAAACATAGAATTATCATATGATCCACCAATTCTACTACTAGGTATATACCCAAAGGGATTGAAAGCAAGGATTGAAACAGATAGTTGTAAGGCAATTTTCACTGTAACATTAAACAAAGACAGATAGACAATAGGTAGACAGATAGATGGAAAGATACTAGACACAATAGACAAAAGTTAGAAAGAACCCAAGTGACCAACAGTAGATGAATGGATACACAAAATGTGGTATATATGTACAATGATGTATTATTCACTCATAAAAAGGGCTGAAGTTCTGATATATGCTACAACATGGATGAACCTTGAAAACATTGTGCTAAATGAAAGAAGCCAGACACAAAAGGAAAAATATTATATAATTCCACTTATATGTGGAATTTAGAATAGGCAAACTCATAGAGACAGAAAGTAGATTAGAAATTACCAGGGGCTGTGGGAAGGCAGAATGGGAAGTTAATGTCTAACGGTTACAGAGTTTCTGTGTGCAGTGATGCAAAAGTTTTAGAAATAGGTACCACTGATGGCTGTACAAAAGTGAATGTAATTAATGCCACTGAATTCTATACTTAGTAATGGTTAAAGTGGCAAATTTTATGTTATATGTATTTTATTACCAAAAAAATATATAAGAATGTAATATACCAAAAATGATTGATGGTAAATGGGTAAACTATATGGTATATAAATTATGTCTCAATAACGCTGTTTTTAAAAAACAAAAACAAAAACAAACAAAAAAAAAAAAAACAGGCTTCTACCTGGGAGATGCAGTCCATGTAGAAGAGTAAAAGTACACATAACATGATAAATTGCATCAGCATCAAACCCAACTTTACCAAACCCAGAAAACAGGAAGTGCCTGGGTGATCTACCCACAGGAGTCCTCGCTTCAAGCTGCTGCCTTGGGGATTGACTGCCCCCTCCTCTGCCTTTCTGTTGCCTATAAACTGAACCAGGAACCATCCAGGAATAAAAATATTAATTTCCTTTTGAAATGAGGCACCAAAACTGAACCTGGTCTGTTAAAGATGGTGATCTACCCAGTCCAAAAGTGTCCTCATTCCCTCCTTCCTTCAGTTGTCACATCAGTAAGTATTTATTGGCACCATCAGTAGGCACAGTCTTGTATTCCATGCTGTGGGTGCATAAGGACACAGAAGGCCTAGTTACCACCTTCAAGGAGTTGTTGGTGGGGGTGTGTGGATAGAAATGAATGGGAAAGATATTTACTGGTTGATAACTGTTAACCACAGCAAGCACAACTTTCTCAGAGTTCAGCTCATACTCTACAGACAGTTGTACATTCTTCTTTGATCACTTTGTTATGAGCTTTTCTCATATCATTAAAAATCCCCCATAAACATCATTTTCAATGACGGCTACATCTGGCCACATGGTTCACCCAAGACTTTCTCACAACTGCCCTGGATAGCCCAGGCTGTATTGAGGCCAATATGTGGAGCTAATAACCTGAAACACTCTCCTGCTGCTTGGAAACACTGGATAAATCAGAGCAAACATGAAATGCCCCCTGAAAATTTCAGAGATCACCATGTATGGACTGGAGGCTCAACCCAACAATCATCTCTTTACATTACTGGTCAACAGCAGAGTCTCTGGAGCCAGACTGCCTGGGTTTGAATCCCGGCTCCACCTCTTACCAACAGGGTGACCCTGGGCAAGCAGTGAACCTCTTTGTGCCTCAGTTTCTTCAACTGGAATTAGGGATTTTTTAAAAAATCTGCTGTGTAGCATTGTTGTGGGAGAAAACATTTTAAAGTTCTTTGCTCAGTGTCCAGAACATAGCAAGTGCTCTCTGAATGTTAGCTATTACCAAGCATTTTGAGCCCAACTATTCAGAAGAAACTGAGGAATTGGGGATGGCAAGAAAGAGTTACAACCAGAACTCAGAGCCAGGATCTCTGACTCCAAAACTCCCTCCACTACTGCCCCAGGTGTTGTGGGTGAAAAGCCGTTGCTGAGTCAAGTTAGGGAAAGAGTCAGGATCCAAGAGTCCCCGGGGCAGGGGCAGAGGAGGATGAAAAGTTACCACAGAACTAGGGGAAGGGTGGCAGGAATGGATGTAAGTGGTTACAGGCCCTGGGGTTTGGACAGGAGCTCATGACTTAGGGGAGAAAGAAAAGAACTCTGGCCTGATGTGTTGTGTGATGAATTGCCTGTCATGAGGTAGGTCAAAGGAGAAGGGTGTTGGGAGAAAGAGGTTAGATGGGTGAGGGAGTAGGTCAGGAGTGGCCCCTAGGAAGGCTGCCTTCCAAGGAATTCTTCCTGAAATATATTGTGTTTTACTTTCTGAATTGTGGGCCTCAGATATGATCTTGAAGGAAATAATCATGAAAAACTTGAGGGTGAGAGACTTGAAGATTAACCTGCCTCCATCCCTTGCTTCTTTATATATGATCTCCATGACTTTTTCAGTTTTCCTCTCTCTCTCTAGTACTGTGCACTGAATGATCTCCTATACATCCTTCAAGATCCCCTTCCTTTTTTTAGTTTTCTCCTTCCCTGGACAGACCCAGTTCACTGATTCCTCCAGTACAGGCCCTGCATATTTTATTGTTCTAAGTTAGTTTTCTACCTTGACCTAGGCTGTGTGCTCAAGAAATATTTGCTGAGTGAATGAATGACTGAACAAATAAATGAGCATTCGTAACATGTACTTAGGAATGCGATTATTATTCCACCTCACAAAAGGAGAAACTGAGGCTCAGAGAGTTTAAGCTGCTGGCTTCCGTGTAGGGAGCCTAACCTGGGGCTGACCCTCCTGAGTCCAAGGCCAGTGCTCTATCCACCGGCACTGTCACCCCGGGTCACAAATGGACAGTGGACTGGAACAAACCCCATGGAATACTGCAGAGTCAGCTGAGACAGGCCATTTCAGAATCCAACAGAGAAGTATTCTAATCCCAGCTGGGACTCGCCCTGACTGTTTCCCTCCAGCCACATCACTTTACCTCTCTGTAACTAGTTTTCATCTCTGAAATGGGGATAATGAATAAACCAACCACACCTACTGAACGTTTGTAAACCAGACTGTGGATTCCTCTAAGCCAGGGTTCATGTCTGTTTTGCTTGCAGCTGTGTCCCAGCACCTAGCATCTGCCTGGGACATAGGAGGTGCTTATTAAGTGTTTGGTTAGGAAATGGATGACTGGAAGGTTGATGTGTACAGGGCCATTATCACTGTCACCTGAGAAAGCTTTTCTCTCACTGTTTCCCAACGTGGATCCTCCACAGTTAATCAATGCTGGTGGCCCAGGTCTAAGCTCTGCCTCACCCTTTGCCCTCCCCACAGGTGGGTGGGACAATTCTTTCCTGACTAACTTGGGCTGGGTGCTCAGGGGAGGTCAGCAACAGTCAGGGAAGTCAGAGCTCCAGAGCCTCTGCACCATGAGTGTCTCTGTGCTGAACCCCACCAGACCCCTGGGCGGTATCTCTGGGCTCCTGCAAGTGGCCTCCCTGCTCGCCCTGGTTCTGCTGCTGCTCAAGGCAGCCCAGCTCTACCTGCACAGGCAGTGGCTGCTCAAAGCCGTCCAGGAGTTCCTGTGCCCTCCTTCCCACTGGCTCTACGGGCACAGCCAGGAGGTAGGAAGGAGCGGGATGGAGGAGTGGGAGTAGGAAATGGTCAGGGCTCTGAGATCGTGGTCAGCAAATCCATCTGACAAAGCCTTATCGTGTGATGAGCACATGGCCACTGGGAAAATCCAATTTACTTCTTTTTTTTTTTTTTGAATGTGCTCTAGGCTGCCTCTTTTTTTTTTTTTTTAATTTTTTGTTTATTGCAGTAACATTGGTTTTTAACATTGTATAAACTTCAGGTGTGCATCATTATACTTCTATTTCTGCATAGATTATATCATGTTCACCACCCAAATACTAATTACAACCCATCACCACACACATGTGCCGAATTATCCCTTTCACCCTCCTCCCTCCCCCCTTCCCCTCTGGTAACCACCAATCCAATCTCTGTCTCTATGTGTTTGTTTGTTGTTTTATTATCTACTACTTAATGAAGGAAATCATATGGTATTTGACCTTCTCCCTCTGACTTATTTCACTTTGCATAATACCCTCGACGTCCATCCATGTTGTCACAAATGGCTAGATTTCATTGTTTCTTATGGCTGAGTGGTATTCCATTGTGTATATATACCACATCTTCTTTATCCATTCGTCCCTTGATGGGCACTTAGGTTGCTTCCAAGTCTTGGCTATTGTGAATAACGCTGCAATTAACACAGGGGTGCATGTATCTTTATGCATTGGTGTTTTCAAGTTCTTTGGATAAATACCCAGCAGTGGAACAGCTGGATCATATGGTAGTTTTATCCTTAAATTTTTGAGGAATCTCCATACTGTTTTCCATAGTGGCTGCACCAGTTTGCACTCCCACCAGCAGTGTATGAGAGTTCCCTTCTCTCCACATCCTCTCCAACACGTGTTGTTTCCTGTCTTGTTAATTATAGCCATTCTGACGGGCGTGAGGTGATATCTCATTGTAGTTTTGATTTGCAATTCTCAGATAGTTAATGATGTTGAACATCTTTTCATGTGCCTGTTGGTCATCTGTATATCTTCTTTGGAGAAATGTCTGTTCAGGTCTTTTGCCTATTTTTTAATTGGGTTGGTAGTTTTTTTGTTGTTGAGATGCATGAGTTCTTTATATATTTTGGAGATTAAGCCCTTATCAGATGTATGGTTTGCAAATATCTTCTCCCAATTGTTAGGTTGGGAGAAGATATTTGCAATCCAATTTACTTCTTAGGTCTCGGCTCCTCATCCCAGTCCAGGGAGCTCACTCCCTCACAGGAAGCCTGTGCTGGGGTTCTCAGGTCTGTCAGACACTCCTTCCTTAGGCAGACCTGCAGGCTGTCCTGGCAGCCCTGTACTCTAGGACAACGACTGTTGCTTCCTGAATCGTCCCCCACCAGGCTAAGCAGCCTCAGATGTTCTCGCAAGACAGGCTTCTAGATGCTTCCCTGCCCCTGTCACTCAACCCCATCCTCTCTGCCTGGCGTTGAGCTTGCCTGAGAACACAGATATCAGTCTGTGGATCCCTGCCCTGTGGGGTTCAGTCTGTGGAGACGATAAACAGGAATGTGAGAAGGTGTCAGGTCACAGGAAAAGAGGCTCACCTGCTGGGCTGGGGGGTGATGTCAGGCATAGGGGGCAAACCGGCTCAATGTGTCTGAGACTGAGGGATTTTCCAGACTAGTGATTTCACTGGTAAAACCCTAACAAGTCGCCGGCACACATGAGCGAGCAGGTGTCCAGGATGGCCCCAGGTAAGGAGTACTGACATTCAATTTGCACCACTACATATAATGTTTGCCTCCCAGCTCTGATTCCCCAAACCCCAGTACTGTGCACTCCTTGGGGCTGAGGATGTCATCCCCCTTACTGTGGCCCAGTACCCAGTACAGAACCTGACACATAGGAGTGCTTGACCTAGGTGTGTGGAGGGACAGAGACAGGAGGAGCCTGCAGGTTGGGTGAGAGACAGCGCCTTCCTAGCCAGCTCTGTTAGCACTGATCCCTGATGGGGAGGGCCCAGAGCCAGGTGAGGGACCGTGTGGAGAGGGGCTCACCAGGGCTTTGTGGACTGAACAAGCCTAGGAGGTGGGGTGTTGCAGAAAGCTGAGGCTTCTCTCTTCTGAGAGAAGGAGGCCAAGTGATTGTCAGCAGAGGGGAGCCAAGAGGGGAACTGTTATACCAGCCACAGAGAGACAACCAAGGCCCAGTCTCTTCCTGCAAATTGTTGTGCTGATGACTCCAGATTATTTCCTGATTTGGAGAAATTGTGACCTTTTGTTTGATGCAGTTGTCATCTTTCTGAGCTAGGACTTGACATAAGGAGCCACAAAAATTTCTCCAGTGACTTTCTCATGACACGGATGGCCATTAGATGAGAGGTAGATCCAGTAAGTAGATCATTTATATTTACATAACTAACATTACTCCTGGTGCTGAGTCACCTCTCACCTTCTGCTGGCCTGACAGATACTACAGCCAAATTTTTCTTGTTCTTATAATACTGCCTGAGATTTTCATTTATTGAATACCTCTGTTATTGGCTCAGTCAGGAATTAGATTGCCTCATGTAATTAGGTTGAAGACAATCTTTCAGGCCGGATGACAAGTGACAAGGTGGGGTAGGTCAACATATGGGCTCTGTTGCCAAGCTACCTAATTCACATCCCAGCTCTGCCACATACTTTGAATACCTACTCTATGCCTTGGTTTCCTCATCTGTAAATTGGGGATGATGATACTGATAGTACTAAAGTGAGTTATTATAATCATAGAATGAGGCCTGGCACAGACAAGGGCCACTGTCACACTCACTCTTTTGCATGAATTTAAAATAATATCAATGCCTGTGAAGGACAAGCATTTTGTAGGCTTAACAAACTCACTGCTTTAAATAGGGGTGAAATCCAGCAGGAACTATGAAAAGGGGACTCACAACTTGGGGATCCAAATACCCCCAAATAGCCTCATCTTTCCCCTTGTCAAACCTCCTATCACAGGCTTAGCTGTCATGTCAGCAGAGCCCACACATCTGGTGATGGCCTCTGTGGCCTCATTATTTCCTGTCTACCTACTCTCCTTATGTCTCTCTTTGGGGAAATTCCTTTGTGTCTGCAGTTCCCAGGAGCAGCCAGGTGAGGACTGCTCCAGTGGAGCACTGCCTGCCCTGAGTAGCCCCAGCGTCTGGAACCCAGATGGGCACTGGGTATTTGCCTACAGGGTTACTGCCACTGCCACCATGGGCACCATCTCCTCTACAAGAGTCTCAACTGGCTCTGGCCAGACCTGCTCAGGGACAGACGGCAGCCCCAGCCAGTTGACTGGAGGGCTGACAGACCAGTGGGCACCAGAATGGCCCAGAGAGGAGAATGGACAGGCAGAACACAGTTTAGCTCCTTGGGGTCCCCAAAGGGAAATAATAACAGTGCCCAGGAGCAGGGATTTCAGGAAGCTGACTGGCTTGGGCACCAAGCAATCAGAAAGGAGGCACACTACTGTGCTGAAACAGGGTCCCCAGGCCTCCACTGGGCCAATAGGAGGGGATCCGAGAGGACCAGGTAACATAGCTGCGGCGGGAAGAAGCTCGCACTGGTCAGTCCCTGCACTGGATCAAGGGAGAAGGGCAGCCCCAGTGCTGGACATGACCTGGACCACAGAGAGGCCTTCTGAAGTAATTCAAGGAGGCCACTTCTCGGTTAAGAGCAGGATTGTCTGCCCCACCCCCACCCCCACTAGAACATAAGCTCCACAGAAGCAGGGATTTCTGTTGTTCACTGTTGAATCTCCAGCAATGAAGATGGCAATTGACCCAAAGTAAGTACTCAATATGCAGATATCAAATAAATGAACGAGTGAATCCATCTGCTTATCTACTCATTCATATATTTGCTCCTTCACTGCAGTGGAAACATTTGGGGATGTCTGCTCAGCTTACCTGTCTGAGACCTCTTCCCCCACAAAGGGTGGGCCCCTGAAAGCCCTATTCAACCCCAGCCACAGTTGATTGTAGCTGGTGGACCCCTTGGCCATGATATTACAATCAGATTCTCAGAATAGGATGCACAGTGCCTCTAAGACATGACGTGTGGTGGAAGGGTAACGTCCCAGCCCCAGAGGGTAGAACTGCCCTTCTCCACCACGAGGACCCAGCTCCACAAGGACGGGGACTGTTTTCTGTTTATTCATGGCTGTATCATCAGCTTCCAGAAATGTGTCTGGGACAAGGTAGAGCCTCCATAAACATTTGTTGAGAGAATGAATGCATGCACGTACAGAGAGAGAGAAAGAGACGTAGTCCTGGCAGCTCTCCAGTCCCTGGTTCTGCCGCTTCCACATCCTGACTATTCCCTGCCCATGGGCTCCATGAGACATTTCTGGGTCCTCAGCCTTCTTTCTTGTCCTTTTTCTTTGTCTTACATTAGCTCAAGATTCTATCTGTCACTTGCAACAGGAAATTTAATCAAGACTTACTCATTCACTCTCCTACATGTCCTCATTCCTTTTGAAAAATAAGGCATAATTCCTATGAACCATGCTCTATGCCAGCTCTAAGAACACAGAGATTACAGATATTAAAGGTAAGTTTGCCAACACGGTGCCCAGTAATGAGAAGATTGAGTTGAATATGATAATAGAGACACCGAGGGAGGCTTGGGAACCTCGGGGAAGGACACCTTGTGGTCAGCAGATTTCAGCTGAAATGCAGCTCACCTGGGCATATCCTTCAACATGGGTCTCCTCATTCTTCAGTGATTCAGGATCAAGTAATAGTCCATCCCTCACCCAGGTTTGCCTCGAACATTACATAATTGTTTTAGTTTCCTAGGGCTGCTGAAACAAAATACCACAAACTGGGTGGCTAAAACAACAGAAATTTAGTGTCTCACAGTTCCGGAGACTGGAAGTCCAAAATCAAGGTATTGGTAGGGTTGGTTCCTTCTGCAGGCCCTGAGGGAAGCATCTGTTGCAGGTTCTATCTTTGGTTATCTCTTTGGCTGAATCACTATCTTCTCCATGTGTCCCTTCCAATGATCTTCTCTCCATGAGTGTTGTCTCTGTGTCCCAATTTACTCATTTTTGTAAAGACACCAGTCTTATTGGATAAGGGCTGACCCTAATAACCCAACATTAACTTGATTGCCCTGTAAAGATCCTATCTCCAAATAAGGTCACATTCTGAGGTACTGGGGGTTGGGATTTCAACATATGAATTTGAGGGGGACACAAATCAACCAATAACTCTAATATAAGTCTGTAAAAAGTTTTGTACACCCTGGAGTCCATTATTGGACATTTATCAAGCACCTACTATGGGTAAGATTCTGAAGGCAGTATTCTGAGTGAGGGCCCGGAGATGGCCCAACCAGAAGCCAGAATCGGACCTTAGGCCAACTCTTGGCAAGAGAGCAAGAATCCAAATCAGAGCCCAGCTCTTCAGAAACAGTTCCAAACTCCTAATCACTGCTGATACATCCAGAACTATCTCCCTGTGCCTGTCTTGCCCTTCACCACCACTCCAAACACTGGACCTAAAAGGAAAGGTTTTATTGATTTGTCTTTCCTGTGGTTACAGTTACAAGAGGACTAGGACTTACAAGAGCTTCTGAAAAGGGTAGAGAAATTCCCACATGCCTCTCCTCACTGGCTATGCGGAATAAAGGTCCAAGAACTGGTCTATGACCCTGACTACATGAAGGTGATCCTGGGGAGATCAGGTGAGTGTGAAATCCACATCCTGTCTAGAGCAGCTCTTCCCTTGGGTACATGCCCCTGTGTCTATGAAAATCAGAAAAGACTGGCAGTTCAGCCACCAATACCTACCCTCTTCCAACCATTCTCCCAGCACACAAGCCAGCCTAATGCCAACACTATTCCCTTAAACCAAAGCTAAAAGAACAGTGTGGGACTGAATTTCTTTTTTCTTTCCTTTCTTTCTTTCTTTTTTAATCAAATGGAGATGACCTGTTATGTAAATTGCCCCAGATCTCAAAGACAATTTCCTTTGCACAATGACCTGGGTTAGGTACCTCTAATATTTGCCTGTCTGGGGACAGGGGATGACGAAGCGACTATCAATATAGGAAAACCACAGGCTTCTGAATTTTCTTTGGCACTGAGGACAGAACTTGTGTTTCTTGCAGATTCACCATCCTAGTCCTGTGGGTGTCCTGAGGCTGAGACACCGAGTCTGTCTTCCATAGCCCACAGTGACTATCAGGACAGAAAGAGTCAGGGATGGGAGGCAAATGGGCAGTAGTTTGAGACAAACTGGCAGCTGACAATCGTCAGGAAGGGATGGCAGCCTGTAGTCTGGACCACAGCTACCTCCTGGGGGCCACCAACCTTGTTTAATCCCCTCCAGCTTCCTGTAATGTCCTTCCTTACCTTTCAGACCCAAAGTCTCACAGTCCTTACATATTCCTGGCTCCTTGGTTTGGTAAGTACATCTAACTAGGACTGCAGTCCACCCACCACCTCAGCGTGCCAAGAGCTATTTCTTTAGCTCACAGAGAACAACAGGTGCCTGACCACCATGTCACCACCCTCATCTCTGGATCAAGCCTCATTTCTCTTCTTGTAACAAGACCCTCCCCTATCCTAATGGTGGTGAGAGCCCTCCTAAAGCTCAGCATCTTCCACATCACTTCTCAGTCCTCCTCAGTGATCTCAGCCTGAATTTTATTGAAGTTCTTCTATGGTCTGCCCTCAATTCTTTTTCAACCTTTATCTCATAGCTGTCACAATCACTTCCCATGTACCAGCCATTTGGGGAAATTCTCAGTCCTGAAATGCATTGGCCTTTCCTGCCTTTGCCACAATGGGCCTTCTTCTGACACTCTTGGTTCCTCCCAAGTTGTCCCCAGTCATCCCTCTGATCCCTTCTCTTGATCCTACACATACTCCCATCTCTGGCCCAGGATATGGTTTGCTCCTGTTGAACAGGCAGACATGCTTCCAACACCAGCCGGTGCTGACCCCAGCCTTCCACTATGACATCCTGAAGCCCTACGTGGGGCTCATGGCCAACTATGTCCGAGTAATGCTTGTAAGTCCGTCCCTCTCTCACCTGCACACACTCATGCATAGCACAACTCACAGAGGCCAGTCCAGACACAATGTCCTTAAGACATCCATCAGACAACAGGCACTCAGAATAACGTTATGAGTCAGGGTTCCTCGGAAGTGTATGGGACAGAGCAGTATCCAAGTGCCAGCTTGGATCCACACTTTGGTTATTGCCAAGAGAAAGGAGGGCTGTGGGTATGGGGTCTGCTCTCTTCCCACATCCACATCTTCAGCACAGTGGACTAGAGCAAGGGTCATTCCCCTTGACAGCAGGACAACTTGACCCTGGATAACCTGAGCAGTGGCAGCTTCAGTGGCAGGGTGGACATGCCAGGATGTCACTCAGGTGGCCTCTGCCCTGGTGCCTCGGGCTTCTTGATGGATTTGAGCCACTCCATGGAGGGAAATGGAGAATAAGTCTATATTCTCAGAACCAGGACCTGCCATAACATCACCTCTGATCAGGACTGTGATATCTTACCAACTGTTCTCAGTTAACATTTGAGGAATGTTAGGAATTGAAGTCCCTGATGTCCCTTCTTTAGGAACCCCAGTATTATACCCTTAGACTTCTTCTTGCCTCAAAACATTTGCTCCCTAAAGTTGGACTTCACCTGTCCCTCAGGTCTAGCTCAGCCCCATGACAGAAAAGATCCTCCCTTTGTCTTCTGAAAAACAATGCTTTCTGGTGTGCCAAAAGGTGGTTATCATGGTAACTTGTTCCTAAAATTCAAAACTAATTCTGACTATTATGACAGAACATGGTTAGTTATATAATAAAAGTTTCTGAGACAATAGGCCTCACTTTACAGACATTTGCTTTATAGTCTTTATTTGCTATAACACATCCGTTCTGTAAAGCAAGAGATTCCTAACAGGATATCTGGAGAGAGAGGGCCTGACCTTGTCATCATCTGCCTTTTGGGGGAGCAGAGGAGAGTCAATGTCCCCCTTGCACCACAAGACAAATGGGAGGAGCTCACTAGACAGGACTCACATCTGGAGATCTTTGGACATGTCTCCTTGAGGACCCCGGACACCATCATGAAGTGCGCCTTCAGCCACCAGGGCAGCATCCAGGCAGACAGGTCAGGGATAACCCTTCTGCTGCAGGGTCTTCTTTCTTACCCACTGGTGTGGACTTACCTGAGTGGCTAATGGGACAACTTAGACGTTCACTTATACACAAAGCGAGATTCTGCCCACAGTTCTAGACCAAGTTCAAATTCCAGCTAGACCAATCCTTGACTCAGCCACAGATCCCTGAACCCTGGCACAGGTAGAAGTCTGGCTGCCCACGCCACTTAAAAAGAGCTGACCATCTCAAGAGCCATAAGACAACAATGACCAATGCCTCCATGTCTTGTCCCAACTGATTGAGGAAACCTCCACCCAGAGCCCACTCCACCTCCAGGTCAGTGGCCTCCCTCCACTCCACTCTCTTCTGCATCCTCTCCCTTTAGGCACTCCCAGACCTATATCCAGGCCGTTGGGGACCTGAACAATCTGGTTTTTTCCTGGGAGAGGAATGCCTTCTACCAGAATGACATCATCTACAGGCTGACCCCTGATGGCCGTTGGAAGCACGGGGCCTGCCAGCTCGCCCATCAACACACAGGTTTTGGCTCCTTATTTGGGGCTGCTCCCATCCTTCGTCAGGCACATCTCAAAGGGACTGGCTCTGACCCCTCAGGTAAAAACAGGACCCCAGATTCCTCTTCAAAAGCTGGGACAAACTCATGCAGATGTTTTCCTGGTGCAAAGGATAGGAACTGACCCAACAATGTTAGGGTTCCAGGAGCTATGCACCACAAGGTTGACGGTTAAATGAGACCCCCTCCCGGCAGCATTCAAGCAGAGCCTCCGTGGGCTGTGCTATTTAGGGGATATTTGACCTGCAATCAGATGGTGCAAGAGCTCTCACCCCTGACATGTAAACCACTCCCACACTCATCCTGATCCACCTGGCACCCAGATTGGGGCAGGGGGCAGATAGGGCTTCTGTGGGTTGCTGTATATGGGCACCCAGAGCTCTCAGCTCTTCCTGGGAACCACTGTTCTGGGACAGACCAAGTGATCAAGCTGAGGAAGGCTCACCTGCAGAAGGAGGGAGAGCTGGAGAAGGTCAGGAGAAAGAGGCATTTGGATACATCCTCCTCTTTGCCAGAGTGAGTGTGTATAGGAGAGGGCTGTGGCTTAGCCCAGAAGCTCAGAGGAAGTGGCAAACCCTGCACTCTCACTGTTCCTCCCCCAGATGGAGAATGGGAGCAGCTTGTCTGATAAGGACCTCCGTGCAGAGGTGGATACGTTCATGTTTGAGGGCCATGACACCACAGCCTGCAGCATCTCTTGGATCCTCTATGCTCTGGCCACACACCCCAGGCATCAGCAGAGGTGCCTGGAGGAGATCCAGAGCCTCCTGGAGGATGGCGCTTCCATCACCTGGTGAGTGCTCTAGAGATGGGAGAGCTGTGCCCACTCAGCTAGAGAAGCCCCTGGTGTCCCAGACCCTGCCCGCCCTTCAGGATGGGCTTCGGTTTCAGGGACCACCTGGACCAGATGCCCTACACCACCATGTGCATCAAGGAGACACTGCGACTCTATCCATCAGTACCAGGCATCTGCAGAGAGCTCAACAAGCCCGTCACCTTCCCTGACGGAGGCTCCTTACCCAGAGATATGAACCTCAACACACTCACTAACCTAAGCGCTCTGCAAGAACACAAGGAAGATCAGAAATCCACATGTCCCAGAGCAGTTCCGAACCTCTCTGGGTCTTGTTTTCCCCTCAAGAAAATCAATACTTACTTTGTAGTTAGGATGAGGTGTTTGAAATCTTGGCACAGAACTAGACCCAGCAAAAGCTCAGTAAACATATGCTAGTCTCTGAATTGGGCTCGGGAATTAGCCCTAAAATTCTAATTTCCTGAGCTGTGAGGGCTGGAGAGACAATCAGACAGGGGTAGGGGGAGATGTGGTACTTACCTTATGGGGTCTAGGAAAATGGGGGCAATTAGGGAATCCACTGTCACGGATCAGATGTCCCAGTCTCTGAGGACCCCTCAGTTTGATGTCAGAGAGCAACTGATGATCAGATCTGAGACCCCTGCCATGGCTGGAGAAGACAACCCCTTGGCTCACCTCCCACTGGGTTTGAATCCTAGCCCTGCCACATCCTAGCTGTGTGATCATAGGCAAGTCACTCAGTCTCTGAGGATCAGGTGCCTCATCTGAACAATGGGGATATGAGAGTCTTTCTTGGAGGGTTGATGTGAGGATGGAATGAGTTAATGCATATTCCCTAAGGGCTCATGGGTGACACCTGATAAATATGAGTTGTCACTTGAGTTGCTCCAAAAAGTCTTTCTTGCTCCTCAATCCTGGGTCATGGTTTTCTCCTCCTAATCTGTGCACATGAGCTTTGCCATGTCCATCCCACCTCTCTTGCAGCAGGATCATTCCACTCAGAGTGAGGGGAAGTGGCTCCCAAGACTTTCCTGCATGCACATGCCCCCTGCTGACAGAGGGAGGGGACCCCACCCCATGGGTATGATCAGTCTTCTCTCTTCTCCGCCTGCCCCACAGGAATCATGATTGTGCTCTCCTTTTATGCCCTTCACCACAGCCCAAAGGTGTGGCCGAACCCAGAGGTATGATGGCCGTGGGAGGAGGGGATGGGATGATCTCTGCAGAACAACACCTCCTCTCACTCCCACCTCAGGAGTCCTGTTCCCTCGTGGATTGGAAGGAGGGGCTTGACCCCACTGTCCTGTCCCTGGTGCTCTCTCTGCAGGTGTTTGATCCTTCCCTGTTTGCACTGAGTTCTACTTGACACAGCCACGCTTTCCTGCCCTTCTCAGGAGGATCAAGGTGAGATTCTCTGTACTTGAGCTGGGAGTGTCACTGGGTGCACACCCGATGTTTGTGACCTCCTACGTTCATATTGGCGTCTGCAGTTACGTACTTCTATGTCGGTGTGTGGGGAAGGAGACATGTGCCCCTGTGTAAAAAAGAAAGGTGGCATTTTAGGGCATGCCACAGGGACTTACCCACTGACTTTACCAATGGCCAGCCACAATTCAGTGTCAGTGCTATTCCAAAGTTTGGTGTATTCTGATGTTCTCTACGCTTTAGGAGTACAACTTCACAATTAGAAGTTTTCATGAGAATTAAAGTTCAGACGGTTGCTTTTCTCCATTATCAGTAATCTTAACAGGTGGTTTTCTCTCTTCCCACATTCACAGTCCAGCTGAGGGCCTTTTCTCCTTAAGTCCCTCATCCGCCACTCACTGTCTCAGTGATGTTTGTGTGTTTGGGGATTTCCAGCCCCTTCCTTGTCCTAACCGTTCAGCCATATACATGGAAGTTTACAGTAGCCATTTGAAGAAGGTTTCACAGCAATGTGTGTCTTCTCTATTTTTACAGTCTATCTCAATAAAATTTAACTGCATATTAATATTCACATAACCATGACAGCTTTTCTAGTTGGCAAAATGCTTTATATGACATCAGATCTATATACTATAGTCCCAGAGTCTACATAGTCCAACATTGGCAAAAAGCATAACAATGAGGACAATCAACTGCCTTGAGAGAAAATCCACTATTCCGAGTATGACACATGCACTGGAAAGCTTTCTGGTGTGTAAAACATAAAGCACGCTTGAGACAGCTGTTAAGCTGGCTGATCCCACTCCAGAATGGCTGCTGTGAAAATCCTCCAATGCTGCTGAAATCATCCTGTGAAATAGTATCTTCCACAAGAAGTTGTGGAATTAATTGTTGTGAATCAATTTTCACAGAACAGGCTTTAAGCAAATTGTTCTTCCAGGAATTGGCTCTAGGATTTGGTTTCTCCCAGGACTGGGTCCTTCCTCATAGACACTGGCTGCAGGCTATGGCTGCCACTAGAGGACAGGAGGGTACTAAGCAGCTCAATTCCTAGGTCAGAACTAATACTACTTTTATTTTTTGGCATTCTGTTTTTTTTTTTTTTTCAATGCAAGTAGCTTCATTCAATTATAAAACTATTTACTACACCTGCCTCTGTGTGCCTAGTCTTGTGCTAGGAGGTGGGAACACAGAGATGAAAGATACTGTCCCTGCCTCAAAGAGTTCGCAGTCAAGAAACAAATACGTCTACTCAAGACGCTCATCATCCATTCATTCGTTCTTTCATTCACTCATTGACTCACTGAGCAGATAGTTGAATGTTCCATATTGGCACTGGACGGTGATGTGTCCTTGAGTAAAACATTAATGGTGCCTTGGGGGTCTGGAGAGGAAGAGGTGGATCCAGCAGAGGGAGTGAGGGCCGGCTGTCATTGGACTCAGCCTTGAACATGTGGCAGGAAGAGGTGGAGGGAGGCATTCACGGCGATCTCAACATGAGCTGAGCTAGGAAGTGGAGCTGGACAGGTAAGAGGTGAGTGAGGCAACAACCCATAGAGGACTTTGGTGCCAGCTGAGGCATTTGGACATGTCCTTCCTGTGATGGAGGGCACAGGAGGGTCTGAGCTGGGCTGTGGCTTCAGTGTAGAGGGAAGGGAGACAGGCAGACAGAAAAGTCCAGGTGAGGAGACTGAGGGATGGCAAGGAGGGACATTTCTGGAATAGATTAGAAGGCTACAGACGCTGGTGGACTGAGGGGATGAGGGGGAGGCAGGAGTCTGGGGTAATTGGGAGGCAGATGGTGCAACAGGCTGAGGGTTACTAACCCGTGGCCCCTCCGAGAAGCTTCCCTGTTGCCATTCTGACTTCCTTACATGACTCTATCTTCTTCTCTTTCTGAGGATCAGGGTCCCTGTGTGTCCCCCTAGAGGGTGAGGGTCTGAGAGTGTGGCTCACCCCACCCCCTACTGTGCCCTGATCGGGTCTCCACATTGTGAAGCCAGAAACTGCTTGGGCAGGCAGTGAACAAACTAAGAATTAGCTTTTTAAAAATTAGTTTATTGACATCTTATTGGCTTATAACATCGTGTAATTATCAGGTGTACCTTATTATATTTCAGTTTCTGTGTAGACTGCATCGTGTTCACCACCAATAGTCTAGTTTTCATCCACCACCATACATATGTGCCCCTTTACTCCTTCCACCCTCCCCCACCTCTTCTCCTCTCGTAACCACCAATCTGTTCTCCTTATTCATGTGGTTGTCTATCTTCCACATGTGAGTGAAATCATATGGTGTTTGTCTTTCTCTGTCTGACTTATTTTGCTTAGCATAATACCGTCAAGGTCCATCCATGTTGTCACAAATGGCATAGTTTTGTCTTTTTTATGGCTGAGTAGTAGTCCATTGTGTGTGTGTGTGTGTGTGTGTGTGTGTGTATACACCACTTCTTCTTTATCCTTTCTTCCATTGATGGGCACTCAGGTTGCTTCCATGTCTTAGCTATTGTGAATAACGCTGCAATGAACATAGGGGTGCATGTATTTTTTTGAATTATTGATTTTGTGTTCTTTGGATAAATACGCAGTAGTGGAATAACTGGATCATATGGTATTTATATTTTTAATTTTTTGAGAAATCTCCATAATATTATCATAGTGGCTACAATAGTTTGCATTCCCACCAGTAGTGTATGAGGGTTCTGTTTTCTCCACATCCTGCCCAACACTTGTTATTTCTTGTCTTGTTAATTATAGCCATTCTGACAGGTGTGAGGTGTTATCTCATTATAGTTTTGATTTGCATTTCCCTGATAATTAGTGATGTTGAGCACCTTTTTAATGTACCTATTGGCCATCCATATATCTTCTTTGGAAAAATGTCTGTTCATATCCTCTGCCCATACTCTATGTGTGTATGTGTGAGGAAGATTAGCCCTGAGCTAACATCTGTTGGCAATCCTCCTCTTTTTGCTGAGGAAGATCAGCCCTGGGCTAACATCCATGCCCATCTTCCTCTACTTTATATGTGGGACGCCTACTACAGCATGGCTTGATAAGCGGTGCATGGATCCACACCCAGGATCCGAACCTGCCAACCCCAGACAGCCAAAGTGGAGCAAAGGAAGTTAAGGACTATGCCACCAAACCAGCCCCGTCTGCCCATTTTTTGATTGAGTTGTTCATTACTTGTTGAGTTGTATGTGTTCTTTATATATTTTATAAATTAACCCCTTGTAGAATATATGATTTGCAAATATTTTCTGCCAGTTGACGGGTTATCTTTTCATTTGGTGATGGTTTTCTTTGCTGTGCAGAAGCTTTTTAGTCTGATGTAGTCCAATTTGTTTACTTTTTCTTTTGTTTCCCTCGCCTGAGGAGACACGGTATTCGAGAACATCCTGCTAAGACCAATGTCAAAGAGCATACTGCCTATGTTTTCTTCTAAGTGTTTTATGATTTCAGGTCTTACATTCAAGTCTTTAATCCATTTTGAGTTAATTTTTGTGTATGGTGTAAGATAATGATCTACTTTCATTCTTTTGCATGTGGCTGTCCAGTTTTCCCAACACCATTTATTGAAGAGACAATCTTTTCTCCATTGTATGTTCTTGGCTCCTTTTTCGAATATTAGCTATTGATAGATGTGGGTTTTATTTCTGGGCTCGCAATTCTGTTCCATTGATCTATGTGTCTGTCTTTGTGCCAGTACCATGCTGTTTTGATTACTATGGTTTTATAGTATATTTTGAACTCAGGGAGTGTGATACCTCCAGCTTGGTTCTTTTTTCTCAGGATTGGTTTCGCTATTGGGGATCTTGTCTTGTTCCATAGAAATTTTAGGATTCTTTGTGAAAAATGTCATTGGGATTCTGATTGTGATTGCATTGAATCTGTAGATTGCTTTAGGTAATATAGACATTTTAACTATATTTATTCTTCCAATCCATGAACATGGAATACCTTTCCATTTCTTTGTTTTCTTCAATTTCTTTCAATAATGTCTTATAGTTTCAGTGTATAGTTCTTTCACCTCTTTGGTTAAATTTATTCATAGGTATTTTGTTCTTTTTCTTGTGATTGTAAATGGGATTGTATTCTTGATTTTTCTTTCTGCCAGTTCGTTATTAGTGTATGGAAATGAAACTGATTTTTGTGTGTTTATTTTGTACCATGCAACTTTACTGTGTTTGTTAATTATTTGTAATAGTGTTTGGTGAATTCTTTAGGGTTTTCTATATATATAAAATCATGTCATCCACAAATAGTGACAGTTTTCCTTCTTCCTTTCAATTTGGATCGCTTTTATTTCATTTTCTTGACTAATTGCTGTGGCTAAAACTCCCAATGTTATATTGAGTAAGAGGCGTGAGAGTGGGCATTGTTGTCTTGTCCTCTTCTTAGAGCTTTCAGTTTTTCATGGTTGAGTATGATGTTGGCTGTGGGTTTGTCATATATGGCGTTTATTATGTTGAAGTACTTTTCTTTTATACTCATTTTATTCATAGTTTTTATCATAAATAGCTGTTGGATCTTGTCAAATGCTTTCTCTCCATCAATTGAGATGATCATGTGAATTTTATTCTTCATTTTGTTAATGTGGTGTATCATGTTGATTGATTTTCGGTTGTTGAGCCACCCCCATATCCTTGGAATAAATCCCACTTGATGGTGGTGTATGATCCTTTTAATGTATTGTCATATTCAATTTGCTAATATCTTGTTGAGGATTTTTGCATCTATATTCATCGGGGATATTGCCCTGTAATTGTCCTTTGATGTGTTGTCCTTGTCTGGTTTTGGTATCAGGGTGATGTTGGCCTCATGAAATGAGTTAGGAAGCATCCCATTCTCTTCAATTTTCCAAGAGTTTGAGAAGGATAGGTGTTAAATCTTCTTTGAATATTTGGTACAAATCACCAGAGAAGCCATCTGGTCCTGGACTTTTGTTTTTTGGGAGGTTTTTGATTACTGTTTTG